CAAATATATTCTACTAGTCAGTGGTTTCTCCTTTCATTCCCTTAACAGGATCTCTTGCAGAGCAGAAGTTTTCAATTTTGATGAAGGAACCCTTGAGCTTTTTTATGATGTACAGTTATTAGCACAGGCTAAAATTAATCAGTATTTAACTTCCCTGCAAATAATACAGAGAGCTCAGAATATTTGAACAATTCTTCACATTTAAGATACTATCATTGTCCAGTAGTTCCATCCTTTATAAAAATTCAATTCCACAAATTAGACATTCTAGTAATTATGGACTTTTTAAAACCTTAATGAGTATTTGGATTTACTTATATATTTATCAATTTCTTGGTTCACTATTCTTCTTGCATTACAGATACTCTTTCTGGGATTCCAGTCCTTCACCTTGAAGTCCTCGCAGTTTTTATTTGGATAGAATGTCTGTATTTTGCCTTTGTTCTCTTAAAGGTAGCCTTGTGGCCTTGTCGGTTGCAGAATTCTAAGTTGACACTGACTTTCTCTCAATACTTTGTAGATACTACCATTTTCTGGCTTCTTCTGTTGCCAAGGTAACATGAAACGTCAGCAAAATTGTCATCACTTCTCTCTTCTTTCAAATTGCTCAAGGCTTTCCCTTTCTTTGTGCTGTTCCGCAGTTCATCCACAATGTGTCCAGAAAGGTATTTCTTTTTTTTTTTTTTTTTTTTTGAGACGGAGTCTCGCTCTGTCGCCGAGGCTGGAGTGCAGTGGCGCGATCTCGGCTCACTGCAAGCTCCGCCTCCCGGGTTCACGCCATTCCCCTGCCTCAGCCTCCCGAGTAGCTGGGACCACAGGCACCCACCACCACGCCCGGCTAATTTTTTGTATCTTTAGTAGAGAACGGGGTTTCACCGTGTTAGCCAGGATGGTCTCGAGCTCCTGACCTCATGATCCGCCCGCCTCGGCCTCCCAAAGTGCTGGGATTACAGGTGTGAGCCACTGCGTCCGGCCCAGGAAGGTATTTCATTTATGTATTCCGTATACATACAGAATACATGGTGCTTCCTGTGTCCATGGAATCACAGGTCACATCAACAACCTCTTCACACATTGCTTTCCTCCATTTCACTGATCCTCCTCTTCTGGGACTCCCAGATGACATATGCTGCATCTCTGGTTCCACTATCCCCATCTCTTCATCTGTCATAGTTTCTATTATCTTACCTCTCTTTGCAATATTATTATTTCTTTAGAAATCTTCAAGTTTGCTATTAACTTCATCTATGTCGACTATGCTGCTTAACCCATCCGCAAAGTTTTTCATTTCTAAAAGCTATACTGATCTTTCACAGATTGGCCTAACCCCTTTTTAGAATCTTATTGCTCATTTTTGTGATTTCATCTTTTTATTTTAAAAACTATTTCACAGAAATCATATTCTGTCTGATTAATTCCAACAGCTGAAGTCTTTTGGGGTCTAAACTTGGTATTTTTGCTCGTTGGTTCTTCCTCCTGCTTTTTTCCCTTAACGGCTTGCCCCATTACAGACTAAGTGATTTCCAACTGGAGGCCCAAATGATTCTTCTTCTTATGTGGGTATCCCAAAGGCCTGACTAGGGGATCTTTTCTCCAGAACCTTCTGCCTGGATCCAGGATCCACAGGTAGACCTGGTGCTTATTTGGGCTCAGGGCGAGCCTGCCTTTCCTTAGCTTCCCACGCTGGCATGTTAGGCTGGGGAGGAGAGACGGAGTGAGGGGCAAGACCTTGGCTATCGGCTCATCCCTTAAGCCAGCAAACCATCTAAGACCATGGTTTTTTCCAAGTTAAGTTGTTGTATCATGGAACAGCCCTTCCATTGTCCAATCCACCATTCCTCAGGAGCAGATCTGCAGAAACTTCCTCGTTTCCTGAGATCCTCCAGGGCAGGCAAGCTGGCCATGCGCATTTGAGCCAGATGGATGAGGCACCTGAAAACCATCCTCACTCACCTGGAACGCAGCACCGCATAGGGAAGGGGCATGAACTTGGAATCCAGACACCTGGTTCAAGGCCTGCCTCTAGCCCTCTCTGTGAACCTGGACATGACCCTGGAGCTTCACCACCACCTCCCCTCCACCACCATGAGCTCTCAGTCTGTCTGTAAAATGGGGGACCTAGTGAGGGGACCCAGGCTCTCTAGCTCTGACGGGAACCATCCCTGCCACTCCTCCAGCCTCTTTTCTAAAACATGCCTCAGAAGACCCTGCAGGCAAGCTCTGCCACAGAATGCCACATCCCGTTTCTCATCACAGACTCACCATCCTCCCAATCTCTCCTGGTAAACATTTGGGCTGCCTGGGGGATGGAATGCAAGAAGCACAGCCCCCGAGGTGAGCAGTGTGGGTGTGAATCCCGCTGAAATCCCATCTGGGACGGGTCGGCAACCTCGAGGTCCTCCTGGCTTCCTCTGTCTCACACGCTTGCTAAGAGCATTCCTTCCTCAAAAGCTCTGATCCTGACGGGCTCCCGTTGAAGCCAAGACCACAGTCTCCTTCCTGGCAAACCTCAGGCCCCCCCACCGGCCCACATCCAAGAGAAGGGGTTTCCAGGCCCAGGTCTGAGGGTGACACTCCTGGACCCTCCTGGTTCTCCTTTCATCCAGAAACACGCTGCCCTCAAGACCAGGCATGGCCTCTGCCCTCCCTGCGTGCCGCCTGCCATTCCGTACCCTGGCTGGATGACGGAGCCTTACGGACAGCCATCTGCTGTCCTGGCCATGCTCCTGCCTGGCCTCTCGGCATCTGAGCGGCTCTTAGGAAACTGTCCTAGAGTGCAAAGGGCACGCGTGCACTGTGGAGACACATGGACCAGGACTCGCCCATTCTGCCCCTAAGTTCTCGAGTCTCTGCTCCTCAGCCACAAAGCAGAGGTGGAGCCGGCTCTCCCTGCCCCTCACTGGCTGCAGTGATTACTGCCAAATCACCTTGGAGGCCTCTGCTGTCCATCCTGCAGGGAAGTCCGACACTCTAGACTGTGCAATCCCAGCTCTTTCAGTGCCCCAGTCTGGCAGATTGCACGCCAAGCATCCGGTCTCACACTGCTCACCTCGGGGGCTGTGCTTCTTGCATTCCATCCCCCAGCATCCAGTCCCTTCCGTTTTAGTAACAAAATCCCCATTTGGGGCTGAAGCTGTGTTTCCCAGCTTCTAAGGCAACGAAATGTGGGCATCTAACTCCCAGTCAGTGGGCTGAGATGCAGACAGAGATCTCCTTCAAGGGAGTATGTGTGACCTTCCTCCATTCCTTCCCTACACCCTGCTACCTGGAACACGAGTGTGACGGGGGGGAGTTCTGCAGCCATCCTGGGCCATGAGGGCCATGGCAGAGAAGGGAACAGAAAGACAGCTGGACCTCTGAGGACTGTGGCCCTGCCTTGCCAGCTCCAGGTCACCGATGTCCGTGACACAGGAGCCATGACGCCTATCCACTCTAAGACACACTATTCTCTGTTTCCTACCAAATTTATCGATTTTTAACTGATACACAAAATAACTTTCATCAAATATGTATTGACTTGCTTAGTGTATGTTTTCTGTAGCACACGCTAAGCTCGGGAAGGAGAGGCCCCAAGTCTGACTTGGTTGCTTCTGTATCCTCAGCACTTAGTAAGGGCTCAGCCCAGAGGATACTCCCAGAAGATGCCTGGACTGACCAGGGTTAGGGCTGGGGCCAGAGCTTAGTGTGTAATTAGGATCAGGCTCAGTGTGTGATCAGAATCAGGGCCAGGTCTGTCACCAGGATCAGGGCTAAGTCAGTGACCAGCACCAATGCTCCATGTGTAACTGGGGTCAGGACATAGTCCAGGACCAGGATCAGGGCTCAGTGTGTGACCAGGGTCAAGGCTCAACATGCAACTGCAGTCAGGACACGGTGTGGGGTGAAGGTTGGGGCTCAGCTAGGACCAGAGTAGAGGCTGTATCCAGGTTAAGACTGTAACGCAAGACAGAAAATACACACGACCATACGAGGCCACCGTTAGCCGTGCTGGGTATCTTTATTGATTGAACTTTATTTTTGGTAGAAGCAAGGTTTTGCTGTTGCCCAGGCTGGTCTCGGACTCCTAGCCTCAAGCGATCTTCCTGCCTCAGCCTCCCGAAGTGCTGTGATTACAGGCGTAGCCGCTGTGCCCAGCCCATGGTGGGTATTTTTAGTGGACAAGACCCCAGAATGAAGACCTAGAGAGGCTTCTTGGAGGTGGAGGGACTGAGGTCAGCTGGTTTTGCAGGATAAAGCCAGCTTTCCCCAGTGGAACCATCAGAGTGGAGGCCCCGCCTAGAACCAACAGCAGAACCATGTGCACCTACAGAGGGGGTAGCCTGGAGGGAGGTCAGGTGTGCGCGGAAGGCAGCTGGACATGTGGCTACACCTCAGGTTCTTTCACAGACAAGAGTTACTGACACACTGCTGGCTCCACGGAAAAATGCGAAATGAGGAAAAGGCCCCTCTCCCTGCTCTCAGGGACGCCATAGTCTTGACTCCTGGCTGCGCCAGAGCTTCCCCAGAAGCTGCTGGGACCAGCATGCTTCCCACTCAGGCCAGTCAGCCAGCATCTTGCTCCTGGGACAGGCTTTGGGCCCTGGGAGCCAGGCAGGGGCCGCAGAGGACGCGGCTGGAGGCCCCAGACCAGTCAAGGCCCAGGCTGGTCCCGCCTCCTGCTCCTGCTCGCTCCCAGCAGCTGCCCAGGCTGGGGGGGCTGCAGACTGTGCCCTGCTGTGCAGGGACTGGAGATGGGGCAGCCCCGCCGAGGGATCTCCCAAGAGTCAAAGGAAGTAATGGAGGAAGAGGATCTGAAGATGCAGGGACGTGCCCAGACCCCCGCAGGGAGGCTGAAAGCAGCGGGGCCCGCCAGGCCCGAGGAGCAGGCTCCAACTCATGTACTCCTCGGCAGCCGCACTGCTGCTGCTTTGTTATTTCATGCTTATGTAAAAAAATACTTTTTGCAAGAAAAATCTACAAGTACAAAACATCATCCCAGCCCCATACAGTACCAAGTAATATATGGGCATAGATATATATATAGCTTTATGTATTTATAATAACATAGAAAATCGGAGAGAAATTATTCCAGGCTCATGGGATGCGGTTCCCCTGGGCCAGAATCAGGTAGGACACAGGAGCCCTGGCCTCCGAGGGTACACGCCCATGAAGGGGACAGGGGCTTTCAGGAGTCACGCCAGATCACAGTCGGGACCTTTTTAGGGCCTGGCCAAGCCACCCTTTCCAGAGCTCCAGTGAGCAGGGGGCCCGGAAGTGCATCTTCCCCACCTCCCCTGCCTCCAGCTGCCTGCTGGGGCGCTGGCTGCAGACTTCACAGCCACTGCCACACGGGGTTGGAGCCTCCAACAGCATCATCCCTGAGTAGACCTGGTCCACTAGGCCCCACAGGTCGGCTCTCTGCAGACTTTCCCTGCAGGTCACCACACTCCACAGGCAATGGCAAGGACGCAGCACCACAGGTACACAGCCCACGTCCTCTCATCTTTCCGGTCTCCTGGACTCGAGCTGTCCCGGCGCCCTGGAGACCCAGTCACTGCACCTCTCCCCTGCCTGGACTCAGCAGGGGAAAGACCGGAGGCCCTGCTCCTGCCCTCTGGCTCTGCTAGCACCCCAGACTAGCCCTATATCTCCTCCTCCACCTTCAAGATCATCCCTGAGAAGACCTCGAGCCCCGAGTGGGCACCCTGGGGGCTGTCCTGGGAGCCTCCAGCAGGCCCCTGGGCCACTCCACCGGCAGGACCAGCGTCCCGGAGTGAGGGTGAGGCTTCCCTGGCGGGGCGTGCTTCCACCAGCCTCTCGAGGGTCCGGTTGAGGGCCTCCACACCATCGGCCAGACGCTGGCTCTGCTCAGCCAGCTGCTGCAGCAGCAGGTTCTGCTGGGCCATGAGTGTGCTCTGCTGCTGGGCCCAGGAGGAGAGCAGGGCACCCTGCCGCCGGTGGGAGTCCAGCAGTTGCTGCTCAAACACGGACGTTTCAGATGCTGCCACTGGGGTCCTCCTGGAAGGCAAGGGAGGTGCTGGCGCTGAAGAGGGCGGGGAAGGCTGGAAGGACCCCATGAGTGTGGTTGCTGGTGGGGTGGAGGCTGGGGAAGCAGGTGGGGAGGGTGAGGAGGTGGGTGCATGGAAGACTCCTCGTAAGTCCAGGGGGTCAGGTTCAGGCGGGCTGGGCCCTTCCAGGGTCCGCAGGGGCAGCCACAAGCAGCTGGGGGTCTCGTCCTCCTCATCGGCTAACAGAGGGAGACAGGGAAATGTCAGCCTGCATGTCCAAAACCCAGTGATCTGGGGGGTGAGCACGGCGCAGGGACAGTGCCCATGTGAGGCCTCTGCACTCGGAGCTGTTTGGGTCTCACGATGCTCCATCTGCAGTGGGAGTTGCACCCGTTGTTTGAGAGATGAGGAAACAGACCCAGAGACGTGGGCACATTTACTCTAGTAGTGCTGGGACTGAAGCCACAGCCTGTCCAAGTGCAAAGCCTACGTGCCCACCCACCACAGCACCACTTGTATGCATCCGCCCACTGACTCCCTTGTGCTCCGTCCGCTCGTCCGCCTGCCCTCTGGTCTACCCGCCATCCTGCTACCCAGTGTCTATTCCTCCACATGGACGGGCCTGCCTTGTCCATTCATCAATCTGTCCACCTATCTGTTCATCACTGTCCAGCCATCCCCCTCCAACCTCCTCTTCCTTCTATTCATCCATCCATCCGTCTACTCACCCATTTATCCATGCTGTCTGTCCATCCACCCAGCCACCTGCCCATCTGTATCTTCCTCCTTCCATCCACCTATCCACTCTCCCATCTACACCTTCCTCCTTCCATCTACCCATCCACCTGCCCGTCTACACCTTCCTCCTTCCACCTAGTCACCCGCCCATCTACACCTTCCTCCTTCCATCCACCCAGCCACTCGCCCATCTACACCTTCCTCTTTCCATCCATTCACCCGCCCATCTACACCTTCCTCCGTCCATCCACCTATCCACCCTCCCATCTACACCTTCCTCCATCTACCCATCCACCTGCCCATCTACACTTTCCTCCTTCCACCCAGCCACCCACCCATCTACACCTTCCTCCTTCCATCCACCCAGCCACCCTCCCATCTACACCTTCCTCCTTCCACCTAGCCACCCGCCCATCTACACCTTCCTCTTTCCATCCACCCAGCCACTCGCCCGTCTACACCTTCCTCTTTCCATCCATTCACCCGCCCATCTACACCTTCCTCCTTCCATCCACCTATCCACCCTCCCATCTACACCTTCCTCCGTCCATCCACCTATCCACCCTCCCATCTACACCTTCCTCCATCTACCCATCCACCTGCCCATCTACACTTTCCTCCTTCTCACCCAGCCACCAACCCTATCTACCACCTTCCTCTTCCAATCCACCCAGCCCACCAGTCTACCCTTCCTGCTTTTCCATCCATTCACCCACCCGTCTACACCTTCCTCCTTCCACCCAGTCACCTGCCCATGTACACCTTCCTCCTTCCATCTACTTATCCACCCTCCCATCTACACCTTCCTCCTTCCATCCACCTATCCACCCGTCTACACCTTCCTCCTTCCATCCACCCACCCAGCTACACCTTCCTCCTTCCATCCACCCACCTGTCTACACCTTCCTCCTTCCATCCACCTGCCCATCTACACCTTCCTCCTTCCATTCATCCACCCATCTAAAACTTCCTCCTTCCATCCACCCGCCCATCTATACCTTCCCCTCCTTCCATCCACCCGCCCATCTACACCTTCCTCCTTCCATCCACCCACCTGTCTACACCTTCCTCCTTCCATCCACCCGCCCATCTACACCTTCCTCCTTCCATCCATCCACACACGCATCCATTCTTCCAATCATCCGTCTGGCCATGCCCTTGTCCATCAGGTACCCATCCACCGAAGTGAATGTCCCCAGGAAGACAAGAGGGTCAAGCTTCCCTAGGGCAACATGGAGAGGCCTGAACGTGAGACACAGCAGACGTGGGCTCCAAGGCCAGCTCGGCTTGGTCTCAGTAGCTGTGCGACCCTAGAAAACACCGTCTCTTCTGCAGGCCTCAAATTCGCAGTCTGCAAATTAAAGGCCTGGCTTCACAGTCTCTCGGTTTGGGATCTCTGACCTTCCCAGTTCCCTGGGTGTGGAGAATGGGTGAACAAACGTCCCTCCCTGACAAACCGTGGGGAGGGCCCCTTGCAGGTGGGAGCAGGACACTCTATGCAGAGGCGACTTCACAGACACCTCGTCCCTCCCTGACACTCCCTGGTGAGTCCCCCTGGGGGCAGGAGCAGGACAGTCTACACAGGGGTGACTTCATGGCCGCCTCCTGGGCCTGAGCCCTGCCCACCTCCTCTGCAGTGTGGAGGGTGCCTGCTCTGCCAGGACCAAGCCCACAGGCTCACTGGGAATGCAGCAGGGCGTCCACGGCACAGGTGGCTGGTCCAGTTGCCACCGCCCTCCTTTCCTCCTCCTCCTTCTCCTCCTCCTCTTCCTCACTGTCCCATCGTCCTCCTGCCGTCCCAGGCATCAGCGCTGCTTCTGACCAGGTGGTCCCAGGGTGCTCAGGAGGGGTCATCTTGCTGGCTGGCTGCTTTCCTCTTGAAACGAGGCCCTCTGCGTGGTGTGGCCCTGAGTTTCTGGCGAGTCCGCCTAGCCCATCACCAGAGCCTCCACCTTCTGCCTCCTGGAGGCCCCTGGGCCTAGCTGCCCTCAACGGCTAGAGGTGGCGGGCCAAGGGCCAAGGTCAAACAGCCCAGAGCTGGCGCCAGGAGACCCAGCCCCAGCCCTGCCTCTGACACCATCCTGCAGATGACCTTGGCACAGCTTCTCCAGGTCTTGTCTCCCGGCCTGGCGTTCACCAGCTGTCACCAGGGGCCAACCCTTAGTGACCCCGACCTGAGTCTGATGGCCCCCGACAGAAACAGGGAGGCCCGAAGTAGGCCCAGCCTCGCCGTTACCACACACTCCCCTGGCGGCGGTGCCCGGACTGGGCCCCGTTAGGGAAGCTCAAGGCGGCCCTAGCCTTTCCCCTCATTCTCCACCCAGTCAGGCCCTTGCGTGGTTCCAGTCAGGACCTCTTTCCCTCTTGCACCCCGAGGCAACTGAGGACCCTCTGCGGGCACAGCCGTGATATCCCAGCGTCCTGGGGATGTGGCTCCTCTCTCATCACTCCTGCCTGTGACGTCCTGGGCTCGTCAGACTCTCCCGGACCCCGGCCTCACACACTCCACCATCCCGTCTGCCAGTACTGCCCCTGCTTCGCCGTCAAGAGTATGTGCTCTCCTGGCCCCAGCTGGCCCAGGGCCTTCTGCGCTCCCACGGTGGCCCATGCCACCCTCATCTTGCTGGACTTAGTGTCCAGCCTGCCTGGCCCCTGGGACTCCTTGAGGAACAGGTTCTGGTCATCTCTGCCTGTCAGGGCCAGTGGGGAGCACCAGGCCACAATGGGGACAGAGACGGTGAGGGGAAGACAGTGGCTGGGCCTCCATCTCAGCTGGGCCACAGTCGCCAGCCAGCCTGATCTCTCAGGTCCTCCTGTGGTGACCACAAGTCACCAACAAGGCCCAGTGAGTGGCTGGTCCTCAAGGCAGCTCCAAGTCCCACTTCAAGAAAATAAAGGCCTGAGCTTTCTTGTTCTCTCTGAGCCACTGACATGCCCCAACCACAAAGTCCCCTCCGCAGTCCCCGGCCCCAGGATGGACACTGAGCCGCATGCCAGCATCAGCACGGGAGGTGGAGCGGGAAGGCCCCAAAGGCCCTCCCCCTGGCTGCACCCGGGATTCATGGGAGAGGGCGGCGTGGTGCACACAAGAGAGGAGACGGTGCCGACTGCTGTGGGCACCACGCAGACCACTGCTGCCGCAACCCCGCCACTCCCAGAGCCCCCAGGGCACGGGTAGTGGACTGGTTCAGAGGAGGCCTGTGGGCAGGCCTCTCCCAGGCACAGGGCAGGGCCGGGGCCCCTCCAGACAGACAGAGGGAGGGTTGGAGGACAGGGGACGGAGGCCGGGCCGGCCGGGCACTGTGGCCCTCACACGGACTTACTTGGTGCCGGCTGGCTCCAGCCAGGAGCTGGCGGGCTGCCTCCGCATGCGAGGACGCAGCCTCAAGGCTGGCTTCAATACTATCTGCAAATCAAGACAACAGAAGGCAATTACAGATGGAGGCCCAGCCGCCCCTGCCCTGAGGGCACCCCAGAAAGGCGAGCCCAGGGGAGCCTGAGCCCAGGGCCTCCAGAGGAGCGGAGGCTGCAGGGATGGGTGCTGGGCTGCCAGACATGCCCAGAGGGCACTGCGTGGTGTGGGCAGTGAGTAGCAATGACATGAGAACGGAAACCTGGAGGTGGCCCAGGGAAGGGGACTCCTCAGTGCCCACACCGGGTGGGGCAGGAAGAGCCCACCGCGGAAAGGGTGGGAGCGGCAAGGGGAGGTCAGGGCTGGGGTCAAGTCCTGCTCTGTCATGACCCTGACTGGGCAGGCCCCTCCACTGTGGCCACGGCCCTCTCTGAAGGGGCAGAGCCCCTGCCTTAATGTCTGTGGAGCTGTGACTGGGCTGATGGAGACTGGGTCTGCAAGCACAGGGCTCTGGTTGGCCACACACACTGGCCCTTGACTCAGCTCAGGGAGCTGATCAGAAAGTTGTGCCACCGTGCGGGGCTCACAGGAGCCGGCGCAAAGCCGAGCTAGGGCTGCAGCAGTGCCGCCCGGGGCAGCCACATTAGCAGGGCCCACAGGAGACACCGGACCAGGACCGGGGCAGCCCCAGGGATCCGGAAGATTCCACACCACCCCGCCAGCAGCAAAATGGCAGTACCAGGTGCTACACGCACCTAAGCCGTCCTTGCCCCACAAGGAATGCAGGGCTGGCTGTGGGCTCGCGGCAGTGAGCGGCGAAGGCATCGCCCCCCGCAGGAGCAGGGCCTGAACACAGGTGCTCAACCTGGGCAGCCCCTGGTGCTCAGCATTCTCTTCCACCCAAGGGAAGGACACGTGCCACCTGGGCACCAGGACGGCGGGTGCAGCCCGGGTCTGCAACAGAGCCAGATGCAAACACAAGCACGGGCAAGCCTTCTTCCCGGGGGGAGGTTCCCTGCAAGGCCTGCCTCCCATGAGGCAGCTGGAGAAGAGCCTGGGAGGCAGGCCACCTAAAGAAACTGTGCACCTGCAACGCCCACCTGGGCACGGGCCTGAGCTGACTGAGCCTTAGGAGTCTTAAGGCCTGGGATAGAGGAGCCGTTACAACCACAGGGACTGCTGCCAGGCACAGCATCGCCTCCGGCCTGGCAGGACTGGTTCTGAGGGAGGAGGGTCCTCAGAAAGACAAGGCCACTGCCCACCGTCCCTACTTTCATCACGGAACTGTGGCTCCATCTCTGCAAGCCCCCCGGGCAGGAGGTAGAAGCCACGAGCCCTGCCTTCAGAAGCCCCCACCCAGGCCTCACAGGGATCCTTGATCCCTTGGTCACCAGCTCCACCCCACCCTGGCCCCTAGCCCAGGGCCCTAGTGGAGCCGCAGGCACTCACAGACATGCCCTGATCGCCGCATCTGGGAGCTCCTGCCCCAGCCAGGGAGGAGAGAGCCAGGCTCCTGCACAGGAGCCAAAGCCCGGAGAGGGCGGGTATGGGTGATGCCCTCAGCCACTCCTGGAGCAGAGCACCCCTTTGCTCACATGCAAACAGCCCCCAAATGAAATCGGCTCTCTATGTCCTGCCACATTAGGGTCACGACCCTCTCGGCCAATGGAGGAGGAGAGGGAAGGAAGATGGGGCCAGAGGTGGGACAGATCCCCCTACAACTGCCACCCAGGAGGGACCAGCCTGCCAGGGAGGAGGCGCTAGCCTGGGCCCGGGGCAATGCCCTGCTCACATGCAAAGGATCCACTTTACACCTGCAGGGGCAACAGCCTGGCCTCGTTTCTGTCGCTGAGAGGTGAATGTGGACACTGGAGAGCATTTGCCAGCAGAGACAGGAAGGCCATGGTGGTCTGGGCTAACACAGCTGGTGCTGGACAGGCCACGTGCCCTGGCTGGACACTTTCTCTGCCCCGTGACCACAGGCAGCCTCAGCCAAGCCCTGGACCCCACCCTTGGACTCAGCCGGTGCCCAATCCTGCTCTACACCAAGCCCTGGCCCTGGGGACTCTGATCATAGTATGTGACCTGGAGACCCACCCTCAGAACGCGGCTGACGTCCTGCTGCTCCAGGGCTGCATGTGCGGGCCACAGACCCAGGGCGGTCCAGGGAGCATTCTTAGCCAGCGTGGCACTGCCCACATTCAAGACACATCACACAACCACTGCCCAGCTCCGCAGCCAGCAAACATCTCCCTTAGCGCCCAGGCTGCCAGGTGGGCACGCCATGTCCCGCCCCAGGGTGGTGTGCAGAGATGCACAAGGGGAGGGAGGCTGCTCCTGTGCTCCTGGCACTGTGCAGCCCTGTGTTGCTTGTGGGGTGAGGACAGGTTCGGTGCGTGGGCCCTGTGGTACTGAGCGACACTCCAATACTTCATCGGCCATCAGCCCTGGGCCCGGTGGCTTTGCCAGGTCTTGGGAGACTCCCGGTCTGTGGGGTCAGCCCTGCAGAGCCACAGGCCCTGGGCACCTGCCCCTCCCAACACAGGAGGTGCTCCACGGGGGCCCCTTGCAGATCCCCGAGATCCAAAAGTCCAAGGGATACCCAAGCACTAGACCAGGCCTCCAGGGGCCAAAGAGAGCAGCCTTTGGTGCCGCCCTTCCCAGACGCTCGCAGAGCAGGACACACACCTCAAAGGAAACTGCCTGCCCAGCGGCCTCAGGGCACAGGGACCCCTGTGGAAGATCCCCATGCACTGTGTCAAATCACTGCCCCCAGCCCCACAGCTGTGATCAGCCCTGCAGGCCTGGCCCTGCCCAAGCCCCGGCAGTGCTGCTGCAGAGCGGAAAGCATGGCCAGCTCAGGACACCTGGGCCTGCAGCTGGGATGCCCCTATCCTGCCATCAGGCTTGGCAGCCACTTCCCTCTCCCTGCCTCGGCGCCCACAAGGGGAAGTCCAGCCCTGCCCCAAGCACTCTCTCGCTCAGGAATTCAACACATGTCAGTTGCTGTCAGCAGCAGGGCAGGTCACTCAGAGCAGCCCACAGGCACCAAAGACTCCCCTGATGGAGGTGAGCCCAGTGTCCAGCGGACCTGGAGTGGCTGATCCATCAGGGGTCACAGAAATTGAGGCTGGGCCTCAGTCTAGGGCAGGAAACCACAGGGTGAGCAAACCTGAGTTCCTGCAGCCTCCAGGGCTGGGGACTTGCAGAAAAGAACTAAGCACCCGGGCCACACCAGTGCTACCCCTGCTAGGCCCTTCCTTCTCAGTCCCATACCACATGTCTACCCTTGCTGTGAAGCACCCCAAACCAGGTCTGCCTCTGCCCATAGAATCCTGGGCTGCAAGAACCTGCCCTGCAGGACACAATGTGGCCTCCCTGGGGGTGGATGCAGCCACCCTTGGCCTGCACAGGCCTGAGAGGAGGACCCAGGTCCTCCTCCAGCCCCACCCCATCATGAGGCCCACTGACCAGGCCCATCCCCCAAGCCCCATCACAAGGCCCACAGCCCAGGCCCCTTGTCCAAGGCCGGCCACAGGGTTGGTGGCACCCTGGGTCTACATGCATCTCCCAACCAGCCCGGCCCACTCTGCCCATGGGTGTCCCAACCTCAGGCACCGCTGTGAGCAGGAGCAGCTGAGATGCCCCAGCACTCCAAGTTCTACCATGGCTGCCAGTGGGGGCATTTGAGGCCAGCCCCTGCCTGTCCAGTGAGGCTGAGTCCTTCTGTCTACTCTGTGGCCCTCAAGAAGGAGCTGGTCCTGCTTCCAGGGCTTCGTCCCCCAAGTCCTTCCAGCAGCTCCCAGGAAGGGGAGAGTCCGGCGCGGCTCTGCTTTGAAGGCTGGGCCACCACATGCGGAGGACGGCGGAGGAACTCCCGGCGCGGTGTCTTGAGGAGGAGAGGAGGTGCGGCGGGAGGAGGCACGGAGGCGGCAGGAGGAGGCACAGAGCCAGCATCACCCTCGGAGCCAGCGTCACCCTCAGAGCCAGGGGCAGCTGGGGGCTGCAGACAAGGCCCAGCCAGACAGAAATGCCTGGCTTCCGGTGGTCCCTGGAGTGGGCCCGTGGGCTCAGAAGGGGGCACAGCGTGTCCTGAGAGGCTGAGAGTCACTGGATAGCACCGCACGTGGGGCTTCCACGTGGGCCCAGAGGTAAGGGCCTGCAGAAGGAGGGGGAGGCCACTGCAGGCCAGAGCGAGGCACAGCATGGGGGAGAGGGTGGGGGAGAGTCAAGCTGGGGCCCAGGCTCCTCCCTGGCTCTGCCCAAACTCCTCAACAGTGACCAATGAATGGACAGGTCACCTCCTGCTCCCTGGGGGTTGTGGCAAGGGCCAATCGGCTGGAGGTGCATACGGGCAAACGATCCTCCTGCCTGCTGACTGACCTTGCCTTCTCATGGCAGCCATACCCTGGGGCTCCGGGGCTGGGGGAGAGTGGAGGGAAGCCCTTCTTCCCAGACACCCCTGTCGTCAGACCCTGGGGCCAGCCGGGCCCTGCTGCCCTGCACGGGAAAGTGGGGCCTTCTCCCTGCTGGGACCCACTGCTTTGGAAGACCTGGCTGCCTAAGGACAGCTGTGCCCACTGCTGGACTGCATTCGGGAGGGGAGGGCTGCCTGTGGAGAAGAAGGCCAGGCTGGGACCCAGGGCCAAACAGGCCTCCTGGCCACACGACATCAGGCAGGAATGGCAGAGGCCAAGATGGGGGCCTTGGAGGGCACCAGGGCACCCAGGGCTGCACCCGCTGCTGCTGCTCATCGGGGAGCTCTGCCCTCGTCTCTGTCCCCACCAGGCACTGGTCCCAGCGGCCACCTTGTGACCCCTCCCCATGGTAGTGCTCACCACTCAACAGTGACGTGGAACTAGGCCCCAGCGTCCCATCTGGACACCCGGTGGGCGTGGCTCGAGGTGGCGCCTATGGTTGAGCCCCTCGGCGGCACATGCTTGGCAATGCCGGGAGGACCCTGAGCTGGGACCCCAGGCGTGAGCCGCAGCCCTTCCACTCCAGAGACAGGCAGAACCCCCCCGGCCCCAGCCCGTGGTTTCCCCACCTAAAAGAAGAGAGGCCAGGAGGGTGGTGGGCCATCTCCATGGGCCTCCGGGTCTCCCTCAGAGGGTCTCCCTCTTGGGAGCTGGTGCAGAGAGCTCACAGCCCACTTGCCGGCCCTGCTTGCCCCAGGGCAGGGTGGTCCCGGGGAGGCGGGCTGTAGGGAGGGCCCACTTACTTGGCAGGGGCTCTGCGGCTTGGCCCTCGCCCTGGGGACCGTGGGCAGAAAACGTCTCGGCCACCATGTGCTCCACCGGCGTGAGGATGAGGCCGGGGGCGGGGCCCCCCTCTGCCAGCTTCTTGCGCACAGCGCCTCGCAGGTCCCGCCACTTGTGCTTGAGGTCACCCAGGTCACGACGGCAGTAGCCCAGCGCGTTCACTGCCTGCAGGATGCGGCTCCACACGCGGTGCTTTCGGGCAGGTGTGCCCCGCAGTGCCCCAAACAGCAGCGGGTAGTGGCGCCTCACCCTCTGCACCAGCACCTCCGTCTCTTGGGGGCTGAAGTTGGGCTTGCGTGTCTTGGTGCGGGAGTGGGGGCCTGGCCGCAGGGGCGTGGAGCCCGGCCCGGCACCTGGCAGCAGGGCCACCGTGGCCGGCTCGGGGCTGCAGCTCTGCCGGCACATAGCTTTGCTGCTGCTGGACCCTGGAAAGGCACCAGAGGCTGAGCAGGGGGCAGAGACCTTGGGGAGAGCAGCCAGGTTCGGGGTCACAGGTCATCACAGGCCTTGCATCTATGCACAGCGGCCAGGCCTTGCGTCGGCACCCAGCATAGGCAGCCTGCATCCACTGTACTGGGCCCCTTGTGTCTCAGCCACTCTCTAGGCCTCCCACCTGTCCACCCGGCAGGTGCCCTCTGGCCTCCCTGGGGCCCTGACCACGTGTGGCAGGTCAGCCCTGGTTTGTCCCTCTCCCCACGACTGCTCCCTTCCCTGAACTGCTGGCATGAGTGCCCCCTCAATGAACCCGTCACTGGGACTGGGTGGGCACCTGGAGTGGACAAAGCACTCCACACACTCAGCATATCCCAGCCTGCGACAGCTGGCCAGGGGCAGAAGCGGCTACAGCCACCTCGGGAAGCTGACAGTGGGGAGAAGGCAGGAGGGCAGGGAGACAGGAGGGTCCTGGGGAGAGAAAGCAGTAAGGGACTGATAGGGCAGCCCAGCAGGCGCCATATGGGGCCACGGAGCAGCTGGAAGCCCAGGCTCGGAGGGGAGGGAGGGGCGAGCCTGGCCCAGCCCCATCCCGGGGAGCAGCAGGGTGCTTGAGCCTCAGTCCCTCTTTTCCTGGGGACACAGCACAGCACCCGGGAAGAGGATGCCAGCTGCGTGAGGGTCTCCGGACACAGTGCCAGTTGTCAGAGCAGGAGGGACCGGGAGGCTGGTCTCGGCACAGGCCCCAAGGTGAGGCCACAGCTTGGCCAGGGCACAGAGGGAGAGTAGGTGGGTGGGGCGGAGCCCGAGAGTCCTGGTGGGCAGCCAAATGCTTTAACCAAAGGCCTGTGGGCACCACGGGCGGCCTGTGGGCACCAGGGATAGCCTGGCTCTTCCTCAACTGAGGAAGAGAGATACCCAGCCAGAGCCGGGGGCCCCTGCCCTGCCAGCCTGGGAGCCAGGGCTCCTGGCAGCAGCAGGTCTGGACAGGGCGGGATTAATGGGTCAGAGCCCTCGAGTGGGAGCGGGGAAGACACCAAAACACAGCAGGGATGGGGTCCCTATGGGAGGGGGGCAAGGTCAGCATCCCCTCGAAGGCCCCTGCAAACCTCGAGCCCCACCATGGTTGGGGGCCACACAGGCAGGCCAGGGCCACCCTGTGACTACAGCAGGAAGAAGACATGAGGGATCCTGGCTGTCCACGAGCAGAGGAGGCTAGAGCACACGGAGTCAGAACCGGATGCGGTCATCCCGGGGTTAGGGTCAGGGTTAGGGGGACCCAGAGCTTTTAGACCTCATGGTGAGGATCTCTCTAGGGAGGTCCATGGGCAACCCATGGAGACAGAGGGCAACCAAGGCAGGTGGGGGTGCTGGGGAGCTGGCGGCCTGGGCGGGGTCACTGGGCACTGTGACCTCTGTCCCTTCTGTCTGGGAAAGCCCTTCCCTCGCCCTGGGTGAGGGTTCCTGAATGGAGCCTCCAGCCTCCCTGGCTCCACGCTCAGCCCCTTCATCCTGACCTCTTGCCTGTCAGGTCCTCGGCTGGCGGCCTCCAGCGGCAAACGGGTGGGGCTTCTCCGGGGAATCAGAGGCAAGGGACAAGGCTGTGGGCCTCCCACTTCATGCCCCACATAGAGCCCGGCGCTAAGGTAGGGCCTGACCCTGGGCACCCGGGAGGCCCTGCTGCTTCACTTCCTTTTCCAGAGGACGCAGGGCTGAGGGCCCACGGTTCTGGCCGGGAGGTGTCCTGGCTTGTGGTGCATCCCATCTTCTCGTAGATGCAGGGAGTTCAGGACACCATGCCCTGGCCGGGCCTGCACGTTCCCACGCCGCTCTCCCCACACCCTTCCCAGCACGGGCACATCCACAGCAGAACCAGAGCTCTGGCCTCCACATCTCTGCAATCTCACAACCCTACCCACCCCAGAACAGCCTCACTGTGGGGAGTCTCTGGGCAGAGGCCCAGGACGAAGGCGTGGAGGCCAGTATCTGTTAATGAGCGGAGCAGGGGCCAGCGTCTGTCAATGATCACGATGGGGCCAGTGTCTGTCAATGAGCAAGGGGAGAGCTAGTGTCTATGAATGAGCGGAGCAGGGACCAGTGTCTGTCAATGAGCAGAGGCGGGACCAGTGTCTGTCAATGAGAAGAGGCGGGGTCAGTGTCTGTCAATGAGCAGAGGCGGGACCAGTGTCTGTCAATGAGAAGAGGCGGGACCAGTGTCTGTCAATGAGAAGAGGTGGGGCCAGTGTCTGTCAATAAGCAAAGCGGGGGCCAGTGTCTGTCAATGAGCGGGGGGGGGGACACTGTCTGTCAGTGAGCAGAGATGGGGCCAGTGTCTGTCAATGAGCAGAGATCGGCCAGTGTCTGTCAATAAGAGAGGAGGCCAGTGTCTGTCAATAAGCAGAGGCGGGACCAGTGTCTGTCAATGAGCAGAGGGGAGGCCACTGTCTGTCAATCAGCAGAGGCGGGACCAGTGCCTGTCAACGAGCAGAGGCGGAGCCAATGTCTGTTAACGAGCAAAGGTGGGACTAGCGTCTGTCAATGAGCAGAGCCAGGGCTAGTGTCTGTCAACGAGCAGAGGCGGGGACAGTGTCAATGAGCAGAGGTGGGGCCAGTGTCTGTCAGTGAGGGGAGCAGGGACCAGTGTCTGTCAATGAGCTGGGCGGTGGGGGTGCAGTGTCTGTCAATAAGCAGAGTATGGAGCCAGTGTCTGTCGATGAGCAGGGTGAAGGCGAGTGTCTGTCAATGAGTGGAGACCAGTGTCTGTCAATGAGCAGAGCAGGGCCAGTGTTTGTCAATGAGCAGAGGCGAGGCCAATGTCTGTCAATGAGCAGAGCAGGGCCAGTGTCTGTCAATGAGCAGAGTGGGTGGGCCACCCTGTGTGGGCCTCCCCCTGCCCTTAGCCTTCCTGAGGGGCTGGAGGAGACAGGGCGGGTGGGGAGGGAGCAGAAGCTCAGACCTGGACTCCAACCTGGGCCTGGCTCCTCTTAGAGGCTGCTCCACCCACCCTTAGGTAAAGGGGTGAGGACTGGGGGCTGGCAGGCAGGCCCTCGGGGCAGCAGGTGGCCCGAGGCTGGGGCGGGTACCCACCGACAGCTTCTCCTTGCTCTGACACCATGGAGGCCAAGTCCTTGATGATCTGATTCACATCCAGCAAGTTGCCCTGTGGAAACAAGACAGCCACGTCAGGAGCAGGGCTGTGGGGCAGACACCAAGGGCACCTGAAAGTTCCCATGGAGCCTGGGGCAGACCCGGGCAGCACCTGCAGAACAAGGAACCAGAGAACAGCTGGGGACCAGCTGGTCTGTCCAATTCCTGTGAGAGAAGGCATGACTGGGCCCAGAAAGGGCAGGGGCAAGCCCAGGGTCACCCCAAAAGCCAGAGACAGGGCAGGGATCTGAGTGCTCCATCTCCTGACTCTTGAGGCCAAACCCCAAGCTCTCCAGGTGCCCCAGGGGCTGTGAGCTGCTTCCCTGGGTCTCAGGGCCTGTCTCCAGGATGTGCAGTCTATCGAAGGATGGCATCCCAGCACCAAAATGGGATAGGATAATGGACAGATGACAGACAGATAGGTGATAGGAGGGTGGAAACAATGGAATGTGGACTGGGTGAGATGGATGATAGATGGTGGGTAGATGAGATGGGTGGGTGGTGGCTGATGGGTAGTAGTGGATAGGTGGATTGGACAGATGGGTGGGTGGGTGGGTGGGAGTGTGTGTGTTGGAATGGGTGGAAGGGATGAGATGGGCTGGATGGATGGATGGGTAGATGGATGGATGGGGGTTGGGTGGATGATGGTGGGATGGATGGTGAGAGGTGATGGGTGGAGGATGGGTGCGATGGTTGGTGGTAGATGGGATGGATGTGGAGTTGGATGGTGATGGATGGGTGATGGCTGCAATGGGTGGGTAGACTGATGGATAGGCGGTGGTGGGTAGATGATGGATGGGATGGAATGCGGCATCAGATGGATCGATGGTGCTACGGATGAGTGGGCGCAATGGATGGGAAGAGTGAATGCACAATATGTGGACGGACGATGGAAGGTGGGTGGTGGTGTCTGGCTTTGTGTGGTTGGTGCTCACTGCTATCCAAAGAGATGGGTCCAGCGAAACAGTGAACAGAGAGTCACAAGTGCACAGCATTGGGCCAGGGTCTGGCGTATCCTCCCATCCGCACTACTGATTGCCTGGCTCTTCCATCTATCCATCACTGTTCTACACATTACATACCTTTTGGCAGTAAAGTGGCCTGATTCACTAAAGCGAGATATAGTGGTCACGCCACAAATAACTCAGAGCACACTGGGCTGTGCTTTCAGGCAGGGACCACATACCATCCTTCACACCTGGAACCCACCTCAGGGGCATCCCTAAGCATCCCATCTAACAGAAGCAGGGAAGTCGGGGCTCAGTGGGTCCCATGGGCCTCCAGGGCCTCTCGAAAAGGGGGAAGAGTTGGGACTCAGACCCCTGCTCCACGTGACCAGATGCACCCTTCCTGACTGCCACAGCTCGCACCTACGGGATGGCTTCCTCAGTTCGGCCACCACAAACCGATCATGGCCTGGGCAAGCCTGGTCACCTCAAGCCAGGTTTGCTCATTAACACCTGACCAAACCAACCCTCTCACACCAGTGCTGGCACATGGCTGGATTTCCAGCCAGTCCCGGGGAAGCTCCTTAGGCTGCTGTGACAACTGAGAGACCCAACTGGCAACCCATCACAGTACAGCAGCTCATTCCAGAGCTGGGATTTGATTGCCTGAGGGTCATTTCACCCACTGCAAATGTTACAAGGAATTCATTTTCTCTTTAGGATATCTCTGCCGCACTTGCACAACCATTAGCAGGATCTTAAACATGACACATTGGTATCCACCACGCGCAATTCAATTTTGGGGCTTAAATTGCTACAGAGGCAGGCAGTCCACTCTGGCAGGGACTGGGCAGTGGCTGCGAAGGTACGGAGAAGGTGCGGCCCAGGGGTCAGGCTTGCTGGTGGCCATCTGCGGCGGCAGCTGGGGCCAACAGCAAAATGGGAAAGGATGGCGGCGGTGGGTTTGGCCCCGAGCCGGCGGTTTCTGTTCTCTCATGCACCACGTACCTTCTCGCAGTGAAGGCCCACCCGGCTCTTGAGACCAACAGCCTACGGTCCGTCCTACGACGGGGAACAGCAAGGTCATTGAAGCATGGCTCAGCCAGGCGGGTCCCCATCTCCCCAAGCTTCCCAGTTCACAGACCTGACCCCGTCAAGAAGCCAGGCATGACCCCACCACCACCATACTTTCGCATGCCGACTGGCACTGAGCCCATACAGGCTGTCACTCTGAGATCCGCGGTCTTCGGGTGCCTTAATGGCCTTATGGCGGGGGGGGGGACTCCTCAGTGGTCTTTCCAAGGGGGCTTCACTAGGCAGAAACATCTCCCCACACTGCGTGTGACTCACTTGTTTCATTGCCG